TATATATATATATATATATATATATATATATATATATATATATATATATATATATATTTAGTGTGTGTGATGTAGTGTGTATGTGTGTGTATACAGGTAACAAGCAAGGTTTAATATAAGGTGTAGTGAGACAAATGATGTCCTGAAAGACTTTTTAGTCATGTTTATTCCTGCATTTCCCGCCAGACGGTGATCCAACGCCTTGGCGGGAAAATTGGCTCCCCAGCTGAGTTTTGGCGCGCAAGTCCCATGATCCTGGGAGCGTGGCGACTGTCAAGGCGGTAAACCTCGCTTCAACTTCTCTACGAGGTCACAAAACAGAGGAGACGCTGAAAAAATGGGAGTATTTTCAAAAGTGATCCTGATGGGATAAGTTACTACCTGGGTGTAAAGACTTCGCTGCTCCTCCAGAGAGAATTCAACTTTCCCCCCAGAAAATTTCTTTCCACGTTTATTCATCCGGTGGTTTTAAAAATTCCCCCTGATATGCGATGTTGGGTTATGAAATATACACAGTACACGCTACCTTCTCAAGAGTAACCCACGTCCAGTAGGAGTCCTAAATAATGTAATGCAATATCCAAGAGGCAATTTTCGCAGGCTATCTTATGGAGGGTGGTGGTGGTCCCTGGCGGCGGGAAGACGTATGAGCGGCGGGCGCGCGCCAGACGTCGAGTGATGACCGCCAACACCACCAATGACAAACACAACAAGTTTACGCGGGAAAAAATTGGCGCCAAATTGTATGAGAGATGGCGGGAGGACTCGAGAGGCTATAAAGAGAGATAAAGGGTAATATTTCGAGGGGCAGATGGAGTTAGAGGCCTCGGGGTGGGAGAGATGGACCCAAGGGAGACGAAGGATCAGCCTCCGGCATGATCACGTTATGGAAGAGGCGGCGCCGGTGGCCACGCAACTTTTCACACTTATTTTTATATTTGTGTTGCTTCAGAGGACTTTCAGTGTTGGTCTCTTTATTATTTACACTTCTGTGTTTAGTGTTATACTAAGTATATAACGAATAACACTCTTGGTAGAGAACACAGCAAGTAATAAGCACTTAAAGAGAACAATAACAAAGCACAACATTTTTGGGAGCACAGCGCTAGATGGCGGTAATATCGTCCTAATCCACTCGGGATGGGCCCGGGGATCTAGTAGCCATTTTCACGTTATTATTATCAATGACCGGGCTTATTACGGCGGAAGACTGCGGACTAAGTTTATTTAGATTATTATCGCACTGAGCCGAGGTTATTAGGCTAAGAAGAGGAGAGAGAGGAGAGCCGACACAAGGGATCCAGCCAACGGCAAGGATCAACTGGGCTGGGGCTGAACGAACATGTGGGTTATCACCAGAAGGTAAGGATGGAGAGAGGGAGGGAGGGAATAAGGGAGGGAGGGGCAGTTACTGTGGCTAATACGTCTCTCATTTACTCTTTACATAAGGGCCACTCATTACTGTCTTGATAACAATTCGCACTATGGAAGAACAACTCTTGGAACTGCAATCTGACTTCTTGTTGCAACTGTTTATTTTATAAAGGCAAACAATGACGTACATAGACGAGTGGTAATTAAAAGTCACTTTCAGTAAGGCGAAACGTTGTATAATAGAGAACTTTCCTTGATAAAGTGTCTGAATTATCTGTTTATAAAATGTGGAAAATAAAAGAAAAATGTTTGCATACCCTGGGTGGCCTTAATGGTTGTATTGACCAGAAACTTATACTTAGGAAGGACCTTATGACGACGTTTCGTTCCGTCTTAGATCATTGGTAAGTCACGTAACTTCAAAATCGTCCAAGACGGACATAAACGTCCTCATAATATTTCTCTCCTCAGTGCTGCTGGGTTTACTGAATTGTTCCAGTCACGGTGCTCTGACTTTATTCTATTAGGGCTGTACTCTGTGTAGCGCAACTAACACAGCTACTAACCTAGTCTGTAGCGCAACTAACATAGCTACTAACCTAGTCTGTAGCGCAACTAACACAGCTACTAACCTAGTCTGCAGCGCAACTAACACAGCTACTAACCTAGTCTGTAGCGCAACTAACACAGCTACTAACCTAGTCTGCAGCGCAACTAACACAGCTACTAACCTAGTCTGTAGCGCAATTAACACAGCTACTAACCTAGTCTGTAGCGCAACTTAACACAGATACTAAACTAGTCTGTGTAGAGCAACTTAACACAGATACTAAACTAGTCTGTGTAGAGCAACTTAACACAGATACTAAACTAGTCTGTGTAGAGCAACTTAACACAGATACTAATCTAGACACAGATGTTTCCTACTTGTATCACCTCCATCTTGTAAATAACTGAGTCTTGAGTATATCAGCTGATTCATGTCAGTAACAGCTGATATTTTATCTTCGAGTATCAGATAATTTTTAAATACCAGGCTGTGTTCTGTAAATATCTGATACTTGTAAACTTGTTGCTTCTTGTAAATGTTCAGCATCAGCTGATTCTTCTAAATGGCGAGCAAAGACACTACGCTAAACCCGTAGGGATCATACAGCACCTGGGAAATGGGTGGCAATTAGGTTTGATCCGTGAAAGGGGAGAGTAGCTCCATTTCCTTGGAGAAAGAGCCCTTCGGTAGCATCAAGACAGCCCTGCCCCCTCCTCGAAGGTCAGGTTTAATCCGAAGAAGGGTGAATACGGTAACAAGCATCAGTCAGTTTTAGTTACCAAGACATGTGGTGGAGACTCATTTCCTCTACTTTTGTATTACCATACAATGAACGCCTTGATGCTGCTGTAAGATTCTTCATCCGAGGAACTGCAGCTACTCCTCTCCTTCCTTCCCTCTGGGCTTAGCGCTTCTGCATAAATATAATAACCTATACATGTGTTTGGCAAAAAATAAAAATGTAAAATAGCTAAAATATGGCTTTATCAACTTTGAGCAGAAAATCCAGTTTAGTTGTAAAGGTCTACTAAGGTTGGTCTGCTACTGACGCTGTCACTGTATTGTTTACATCACAACCAAAGTAACAAGAAGACCGTATACGGCAGAAACAATGCTAATATCATAAGAGACTGAAACCACAGAGAAACAGACTAGGAGAATTGGGATATCGTGAGGGACCAGAAACGTGGAGAGCTGATGTGATGAAGGCGGTGATCATGCCAAGAACACGAAAAGAGAGAGAGAGAGAAGGCAGATGAACCAGCAAGAGATCAAGTATTTGGCATAAGTGCATCTGATGTAGATGAAACAGTGTGAGAGGCCTCTGAGTGCTACCGACAATGTAGTACTGAACTGAGAAGAGAGGAACAGCAGGTGAGGGACAGGAAATCAGATCTGAGAAGAGGAAACTTTGAAGGGATGAGAAGATTCCCGAATGTAGAGCAAAGAGAAAGGGAACTAGAAGGAAAGCCAAAGGAGTACCTAGAATTCCTAGCAGTAAAGTGTTGGGAGGCAGAGGAGTACTAAGAAAATCCTTCATTCAGCTAAAACTGAAAAGGAAAAAAACAAAAATGAAGGAGTATGGATATATTACAGAAAGCAAAGGACAGAGAAGAACAATAGAAAGACGCGAGTGAAAGAGCCCCTAATAAGACTGAAGAAGGAAGGAGAACTTACAAGGGAAGGGAAGTAAGTCTGTGAGTTGAAAAGAACGATTTACTTGGGTCTTCTCAGTGGAAAGAGAAACAACAACAAGGCCACAGTAACGGGTACTGAACAGCATACACTCAACAGAGGAAAGGGATGACAACTGTAAAGTGAGCGAAATATCAAAGGCAATGGGACCCAACGAAGTGTCACCAGGGACTCTGCTAGAAGCACAAACACTGACTGAACTACTGGCTAAGATCTACAAGTCAGTGGATAGCGGGTAATGCCAGAGTTCTGGAAGACAACGAATGTAGTCCAAATATTGAAGAAAGGAAACAGACAGGAAGTGTGACACAACAGACCAGTATCACTTAAATGCATACATACTATGTAAGTTAATGGAGGAAATAATCAGACCCCTGGCTGCCTTCCAGAGGAAGCTGGGCAGATACCTTAAGTCAGTACCCGATCAGAGGGGCTGTGGTTTGTACGATGGACTACGTGCGGCCAGCAGTAACAACTTGGTTGATCAGGCCCTGATCCACGGGAGGCCTGGTCAAGGACTGGTTCGCGGGGGTGTTGACCCCCAGAACACCCTCCAGATAGACTCCAGGCACCAGTTATCACCTGGAGAGAAGTGATTTCATAAACGATAACCAGCACAGGTTAAGAGATGGTAAATCATATCACTCAAACCTGCTGATGTTGTATAACAAAGCAAGAAAAATAATGCAGGACTGTCAAAAGTCATACACAACCCTATATACGACCCACATATTAAACCTATTTTGGAGAATACAACACCAGTATGGAACTCTCACCTGATAAAGCAGGTCAAAAACATGGAGAGAGTGCAGAGATAAGCAACGAGACAAGTCTTAGCACTTAGGAAACTGATTTACGAGGAGAGGGTAAAGGAACACCCTGAAGAACTAGTGGAGACATTGTGACAACATACGAAATACTTAGAGGGATAAACTATTCGAGAGGTGGGAAATCGGTACATTAGAGCACAGTTGGCAGGTATAGACACAGATGAGCCACAGGGATGAGAGGATGTATTGCTTCAGCCTTAGGGCGTCAGGAAGTGGAATGGCATGTACGAAGTAATAGTGAGGAAGGTTTCATACATAGATTTAAGAATAGGTATAACAGGGATAACGAGACCAGGAGAAAGCAAACCCAGGCAGCGGCAAGAAGCTGGCCCAGGAGCTGAGATTCGACCCCTAAAACCATAAATAGGTAAATACACGATGAGAGAATATCAGGTTGTAATACAACTCAAGTAACGAGAGAGAGAGAGAGAGAGAGAGAGAGAGAGAGCTGGTGGGGAGCAGTATTATAATATTCAGGGGGAGCGGTAAACCCACAGGAGTACTAGAGGAGGGCGAGATGTGTAGTAAAAAACTTGTTACTGTTCCTACAGACACCAGCTACAGCTACCACCCAGACCTGCACGATGAAACCTTCGTCAGGAGGAAGCAGAGGCGCAACAGAACCACCTTCACTCTCCAGCAGGTAACTTACCCTCCAGCAGGTAACTTACCCTCCATCAGGTAACTTACCCTCCAGCAGGTAACTTACCCTCCAGCAGGTAACTTACCCTCCATCAGGTAACTTACCCTCCAGCAGGTAACTTACCCTCCAGCAGGTAACTTACCCTCCAGCAGGTAACTTACCCTCCATCAGGTAACTTACACTCCAGCAGGTAACTTACCCTCCAGCAGGTAACTTACCCTCCAGCAGGTAACTTACACTCTAGCAGGTAACTTACACTCCAGCAGGTAACTTACCCTCCAGCAGGTAACTTACCCTCCAGCAGGTAACTTACACTCAGCAGGTAACTTACCTCCAGCAGATAACTTACCCTCCAGCAGGTAACTTACACTCTAGCAGGTAACTTACACTCCATCAGGTAACTTACACTCCAGCAGGTAACTTACTCTCCAGCAGGTAACTTACACTCCATCAGGTAACTTACCCTCCAGCAGGTAACTTACCCTCCAGCAGGTAACTTACACTCCAGCAGGTAACTTACCCTCCAGCAGGTAACTTACCCTCCAGCAGGTTTACTGACTCACCATCTACACATAAAACACTATACACTGTAACACATGACATATCACACCAATAAATAACATTCAATGCAACACCTGTCATCCTCACGCTGCAACAACACACACACACACACACACTACAACAACCAACTTACAACAAGGCTATAACATACTAACCTTGAAACAGGTTAACTGAGGCTAGGTGAGTATAGCAAAGCATGGTGGCTACTTTCAGCTTATCACACGGAGGATCGAGCCTCCACCAATCCTTGCGCTAAGAGACAAACCAGCTAACTCAACGACTGTTATATTTTGTTCACCTCCAAGAAAACAAAAGCTTTATTCCATTTATTCTAACCTTCAAAAACAAAAACAATTTTTTCACGAATTTTATTTTTAATCCAGTTGTTAAGAGTGTCATTATGACAATTACATTACCATGCTGCCACGAACCAGCTTAATGAGGCTTTCTGTGTCATGTCAAAACACTGCATATTATATTACAACACTGTTATAAACACCTGTAATGCATCCCAGACTGACATGTGTTAGCAACTGTATTAAAGACTTGAATGACATGTATTTTAAACAACTGTAATGAATCCTTAACTGATATCTGTTTTTAAACAACTGTACTGAATCCCAGACTGACATGAGTGTTACACAACTGTAAAAATTGCAATCAAAAAAATATTAATTATTCAACATTACTCTCATACTAGTAAACATTACTGTCACACTAGCAAATATTATTGTTACACTAGCAAACATTACTGTCACACTAGCAAACATTACTGTCATACTAGCAAACATTATTGTCATGCTAGCAAACATTACTGTCATACTAGCAAACATTACTGTCAGACTAACAAACATTACTGTCATACTAGCAAACATTACTGTCATACTAGCAAACATTACTGTCATACTAGCAAACATTACTGTCATACTAGCAAACATTACTGTCATACTAGCAAACATTACTGTCATACTAGCAAACATTATTGTCATGCTAGCAAACATTACTGTCATACTAACAAACATTACTGTCATACTAACAAACATTACTGTCACACTAGCAAACATTACTGTCATACTAGCAAACATTACTGTCACACTAGCAAACATTACTGTCATACTAACAAACATTACTGTCACATAGCAAACATTACTGTCATCTAGCAAACATTACTGTCATACTAGCAAACATTACTGTCAAACTAGCAAACATTACTGTCACACTAGCAAACATTACTGTCATACTAACAAACATTACTGTCACACTAGCAAACATTATTGTCATGCTACCAAACATTACTGTCATACTAACAAACATTACTGTCATACTAGCAAACATTACTGTCATACTAACAAACATACTGTCACATAGCAAACATTATTGTCATGCTAGCAAACATTACTGTCATACTAACAAACATTACTGTCATACTAGCAAACATTACTGTCACATCAACAAACACTACTGATACACTAGCAAACATTACTGTCATACTAGCAAACATTACTGTCACACTAGCAAACATTACTGTCATACTAGCAAACATTACTGTCATACTAGCAAACATTACTGTCATACTAGCAAACATTACTATCACACTAGCAAACATTATTGTCATGCTAGCAAACATTACTATCACACTAGCAAACATTATTGTCATGCTAGCAAACATTACTGTCATACTAACAAACATTACTGTCATACTAGCAAACATTACTGTCACATCAACAAACGCTACTGATACACTAGCAAACATTACTGTCATACTAGCAAACATTACTGTCACACTAGCAAACATTACTGTCACATCAACAAACATTACTGTCACACTAGCAAACATTACTGTCACACTAGCAAACATTACTGTCACATCAACAAACATTACTGTCACACTAGCAAACATTACTGTCACATCAACAAACATTACTGTCACATCAACAAATATTACTGTCACATCAACAAACATTACTGTCACATCAACAAATATTACTGTCACATCAACAAACATTACTGTCACATCAACAAATATTACTGTCACATCAACAAACATTACTGTCACACTGGCAAATATTACTGTCACATCAACAAACATTACTGTCACACTGGCAAATGTTACTGTCACATCAACAAACATTACTGTCACACTGGCAAATATTACTGTCACATCAACAAACATTACTGTCACACTGGCAAATATTACTGTCACATCAACAAACATTACTGTCACACTGGCAAATATTACTGTCACATCAACAAACATTACTGTCACACTGGCAAATATTACTGTCACATCAACAAACATTACTGTCACACTGGCAAATATTACTGTCACATCAACAAACATTACTGTCACATCAACAAATATTACTGTCACATCAACAAACATTACTGTCACACTGGCAAATATTACTGTCACATCAACAAACATTACTGTCACATCAACAAATATTACTGTCACATCAACAAACATTACTGTACATCAAAACACTGTCACACTGCAAATATTACTGTCACATCAACACTGTCACACAACAATTACTGTCACATCAACAAACATTACTGTCACATCAACAAACATTATGTACACTAGACATTATTACATATTATATGTGTGAGACCAACCCGCACTGTTTCACGCTGTCCATCATTGCTCCAGAATAGTTTTCAACACTGGATGACACAAAACTTTGCTCCCTCCAATAATAATTTATAATAATAATAATACATTTAAGAATAAAATACATATAATAATAATAATAATAATAATAATAATAATAATAATAATAATAATAAAACAATAAAATAATAACAGTAACTCGACTACTAATATCGATAGTAGTGCTTAATATACTTAATCATAATAAATAATAATAATAAATTATGATTATCAATCAGTAAGACACATGTTCAACACCAAGCTATCTTAAAGCATGTCCCGTAGCTCGATCACACTGAGGTCCCGGGGTCGATCCCCGGTACGGCTGGAAACATTAGGACGTGTTTCCATAAGACACCTGCTGTCCCTGTTTACCCATCAGTAAAATGGGTACCTGGGTGTTAGTCGACTGGTGTGGGTCGCATCCTGGGACACAATTGACCTAATTTGCCCGAAATGCTCAGCATAACAAGCGGCTTTCTATAGCAGTATGTTATTGATGTCAGCTAGACTTGTATACCTTGTACATGTACTTGTAGAAATAAAGATATTATGTAACTTGTCGTTACTGTATACCATTTTTTATGTTTGTGGTTATATCTACTACTGCTACTACTACTGCTACTACTGCTGCTACTACTACTGCTGCTACTGCAACTGCTACTACAACTGCTACTACAACTGCTACTACTGCTACTACTGCTACTACTGTTGCTACTACTACTGCTGCTACTACTACTGCTACTGCTACTATTGCTACTACTACTGCTACTACTGCTACTACATACTGACTACTACTGCTACTACTGCTTGCCTACTACTAACTGCTGCTACTACTACTACTACTACTGCTATACTGCTACTTGCTACTACTACTGCTACTACTACTGCTACTACTACTGCTGCTACTTGCTGCTTACTACTGCTACTCTACTACTGCTATACTACTGCTACTACTACTACTGCTACTACTGCTGCTCTACTACTACTGACTACTACTACTACTGCTAGCTACTGTACTACTGCTACTACTATGCTATTACTCTACTATCTACTTGTACTACTACTGCTCACTACTACTCTATACACTTTACTCATCTACTACTGTTACTACTACTATCTACTACTGCTACTACTACTGATCTCTGTACTACTACACTTTACTACTTACTCTACTACTACTACTCTACTACTGCTACTACTACTGTACTACTTGCTACTACTGTACTACAACTTATTCTACAACTACTTTTTCTAGTACACTTTACTCATACTATTCTATTACTACTTATACTACAACTATTTTTACCATCACTTATACTAAACTCTTTACATCACTACTATATTACTATTTTAAACTATAATTAATACAGAGCTAGTTTAGATTTTACTAATTTACTACTACTTTCAAATACTCACTACTAGACTTATATACATTTACTAGTATAATGTTTATATGTATTATAGGCATACTACTATACTATATTGTGTGTGTTTGTGATGTTCAGCTGGAGGAACTGGAAAACGCCACAAACACATACTGATGACAGGAGGAGCTGCATGAAGATCAACTGACGGAGCCGGTCAGGACGTCTCTCTCACTGGAAATTTACAATATTGTCAAACTCACCCACATGAACTGACGCCCTTGTTTCCTTCACTTTCTTTATATTGTTTATTAACCCATGTTGAATATAGTGTGTGTGTGTGTGTGTGTGTGTGTGTGTGTGTGAGAGAGAGAGAAGAGAGAGAGAGAGAGAGAGAGAGATAATGAAAATTTTGAGAGTTAAAGGGCACAGTAAGAAACCAATAAAAATAAGCAGAACACAAAAATACAGAAGATGAAATTAAGAAATGATAAAAACTAGTAGCAGAACACGGCACAGCAAAGTAAGTTAAAACAACCAGGATTAGTTAAGAATCCCATTAACTGGTCAATATTGGAACACCAGCCTAAAAGTTCTCCAAAATCCCTACAGGTACCTTGGAAATCATGAAGCGAAGTGAAATAAATCGTGACTAAACCGTAAAAATGTGTCTTGACAGTCAGTTTCACGTCGCAGCACCTCCAAACAGGTGGTTATGGTTGAAATGTAAAACTTGCTTCTTCTATGTATGGACCATCGGGCCCGCCACTTTCCAAAGATATTCTATGTATGAAGTCCCTTGAAGTTTGCTTGAGAGCAAGCTTGATCTAGCAGCCTCCATCTCAGCATCTGCCAATTAGTTTCCTGGAGACACAAACACGGGTCAGGTACCAAAAGAACTTCACATCTTGTGAACCACAGAGATAGACAGAAGTACACTGAGCCAGGGCAGAGTACATTCAAAATCAGAGTAAACAGTGAAAAGAGATCCACCTAAGTCAAACAAGAGCAGTGATGATTGGCTGGAGCTCTGCAGTGAACACAAAAGACTTGTTTGATAACTGGACACAATACGAGTTCTCTCCGGCGATCACCGTGAAGTCAACATCACCCTCGCTCTTTGATCTATCAGTAAAAACGTTTATCCTTGAAGTATAAACAATATTATGCTCTCTTACAAAATGCGATATCCATACGGTACAGACATCTTCAGAAAATACTAGAAGGTCAACTTATTGATCCTCCCTCTAGCAGCTAGCCTGTTAATGGTTTTGTAACAATTTGTCAGAATAATTTGACAGAAATATTAATAGTGTTTTGGGATCGCAACTGAATGATAATAAATCAACGAAATCAAATTTAAGATCTTTAATATAAAAACGGTGTCTAGGTAGACATTATTAAGTAAAGAATTTAACAATTTAAGATATAAGCTCCTACACTTCTGGATATTACTTGTGTATACATTAATTGCAATGTTAAACTGTACATATAGTACCATAGTGCTGAGGGCACATTTCGTATCAGTACGGCTCACAAGTACCGTCTTGTACGTAGCTATGATGAGTTATACTCAAATGATAAATATTACAATCAACAAGTGTGTGTGAGAATGTGTGTATGTGCTCAAAAGTGCTCGTTATGTCTCAGTAAGACTAGACTCGACTTAGAGACTTAAACAATGACGGATTAAACGTCCTCAAAGCAGTCAAAACAGCTTGCTTGAACAATATGACGAACCATTCATCGAACAACAAGAATGTACAAAGCAGAAGCACGGCGTCAGGAACAAGGAGATAAAATAACGACCCTAACCGGGGTCCATCAGCAGATCCTCCATAAACGGCATACATCTCCCTTAATACTGAATCTAAGTTCAACATAACCAAATCCCCGACTACGACAGTGAGTAGATGCCTCAAAGAAGGTCAGAAGCTTCAGCTTGGGACCAAGGATGAATCGAGTGTCTCTGCGACACACAACTTCGGAAAAACGTCAAAAATCACTAAGTCTGAACAATGCTACGTGCATAAAGTTACTAGAAGTATGTTTTGACTCACCAACGAAATCATTCTCTACCAAAAACAGTCTAAATCACGAACAAACAGCCAGAGATGAGAGATCTGGTAAGGTGTACTTCTCAGGAAGGAAGCAGATCTAGAGAGACTCCATGAGGTAGGAAGGCCAGTCTCCAACCACAGGTGCGATCACGTGACTATCCAGTGCTACTCCAGCGACGCCGGCACGTAAACAAGCGAGCCGACAGTTAGATAAGCAGTTTGCGAGAATGGAGAGCCAGTCACAACATAGCCTATATAATAAGTCAAATAATTATATAAAGCAAGATATTTTCATTTTAGCTATTAATGAAAATATCGGCAATATACAATTATATGAAAAGGTAATTATATATATTATTATATATATATAATATTATATATATATATATATATATATATATATATATATATATATATATATATATATATATATATATAATGCAAATATCGCAAACCAAGCGATACAGGATGCAAAGCAACCACGGGGGTTATTTTGCATACATTATATACATTGTGTCTCAATCAGACTATGCAACATGTTCCAAGAAGCTAATCAGGGTCATCACTGGAGTCCCCATCTATCGCTTACAAAGATGAACCTCGGGCACTCTCCCAGGAGGCAGGGAGAGACGCCAACTTCTTCTTGACCATGGACACCTCGAGACCACAGTTTAACACAGCAGCCTCTAACTCAACATGAAACGACACAGGAAACTTCACATGACGAGCAAAGACAGCTAAACCTTTCCCCAGTACCAAAACCCAATTATACCATAGGTTGCCAGGAGTACGCTAAACGCAGATCAGATAGTGAGTGCGTGTGAATGTGTGCATGACTGTATGAGTGTGTGTGTGTGTGTGTGTGTGTGTGTGTGTGTGTGTGTGTGTGTGTGTGTTGTGTATGCGAGCGCACCTCGTCCCATTTTTCAACTACCTTGAGTTTAAAAATATACTTCCTTACAACTCCATGGGTTCATCTGTGTCTTCAGCTTCCACCTGTGTTTCCCTGACCCGGGTCCTCTCCAATTAACCAGTCTATCCCTATCTACTTGATCAATTAACCATATGATTCTGTATGTCCAAATAATGTTTACCCTTAGGCCTCTTCTCCAGGAAGGTTATCAAGCTCATTTTCTTCAATATCTCCTCATAATGCATTCCTCTCAGTTTTGGGACTAGCAAGGTTGCAAATTTTTGTACCTAATCGAGCCTGTGGACGTGCTTGACCAGATGGCAGCTCTACACGGGGGTCAACGTAGTCAATAATTGGTCTTACACACTCTCAGTTGCTACTGTATTAGGTAGATCTGTACATCTGCTCGTTAATGCAAATATATCTAATCAGAGACTCACGTGGCAACACCTCAGTACCTAAAAGCATGCAGACATGGTCAAAAGGTTCGGTTATTGTTCAGACAGAATATCAGGATGAGGAAAAAATGTGATCTAAGTGATTTTGACTGAGAAATGATGGTTGATGCCAGATGGGGTGGTCTGAGTATCTCAGAAATTACTGATCTCCTGGGATGTTCAAACACAACAGTCTCTAGAGTTTACAGAGAATGGCGTGAAAAACAAAAATATCCATTGAGCGGTAACTTTGTGGGTGAAAACGCCTTGACAATGAAAGAGGTTAGAGGAAAATGGGCAGACTAGTTCAAGCTGACAGGGATGCGATAGAAACTCAAATAACCACACGGTACAACAGTGGTATGCAGAGCACCTCTGAACACACAACACGTCGAACCTTGAAGTGGATGGATTACAGCAGACCATATTGGTTTCATTCACGTCAGCTAGAACAAGAAACTGAGGCTACAGTGGGCACAGGCTCACCAAAACTGGACAGTTCAAGATTACAAAAACGTTGCATTGTCTGGTGAATCACAATTTCTACTGCGACATGCAGGTGGTAAGATCAAAATCCGGTGTAAACCTTTAGGATGTGGTGGAACGGGAGATTCGCAACATGAACGTGCAGCTGTCAAATCTGCAGCAACTGTACATGATGCTTTAATATCAACATGGACCAGAATCTCTAAGGTATGTTTGCACCACCTTGTTGAATCCATACCACCAAGAATTCAGGCTGTTCTAGAGACAATGTGAAACACTACACAGTACTAGAAGGGTGTACCTAGTAAAGTAGCCACTGAGTGTATGTCATACATAAAGTTCTGATTTTTTGTTTAGACTCCTGAATGCCGTTCTAAGATTTGCTAATCTTGTATATATATAGTCTGTTTGGCCATGGTGTGTGTGTGTGTGTGTGGCGGGGAAGGGAGCAGGTGTTGCCACAGTGTGTATGAGAGTGTGTGTGTGGGAGGCGGGGGTAGGGAGCAGGTGTGGAGTCTACACGGTATAGTACCACGCAGTAACAGTTCCACACGGTAGCGTAGCGTAACTCGCCATGTTTCTTACGTACATCAAAGTAAGAACATTTATGCTTGCTGCCACCGCCAGAAGAATCACAATCTCATTAGCGTGAGGCCAAAATGGCTTTCCTCTTATTTTCACTTCATTTCTTTGAGGTAATATCCAAATTAGCTCCTCAAATGAAATTCACAATTAGATATATAATCATCTTTATGCAAATGAGAAAAATTGACTTGGGGAGGGGGTTAAGGGAGGGGGGGTTGAGGACGGAGGCGACCCATTGTGACTCTTGCGTCGGGTGGCACAGAGGTCAGAGTTGTGCTCACAACACGGGGTGCTGTGTGTCCTTGATGCCCGGGAAATGGACTTATTATGGCTGGAAGAACTTCACTTGATTTTTGGCGGTGTCTGTAAATTGTGCCACCCAGCTATTGTTGTGGGTGCTACCCAGCTATTGTTGGTGCCACCCACCTATTGTTGTGGGTGCCACCCAGCTATTGCTGGTGCCACCCAGCTATTGTTAGTGCAACCCAGCTATTGCTTTTGCCACCCAGCTATTGTTGTGGTGCCACCCAGCTATTGTTGTGGTGCCACCCAGCTATTGTTGTGGTGCCACCCAGCTATTGCTGTGGTGTTGCTGGTGGCATCCAACTATTGTTATGGTGTTGCTGGTGCCACCCCAGCTATTGTTGTGTTGCTGATGCCACCCAGTTATTGTTTGTTGTGTTGCTGATGCCACCCAGCTATTGATGTGGTGTTGCTGGTGCCACTCAGCTATTGTTGTGATGCTGCTGGTGCCACCCAGCTGTTGCTGGTCCCACCAAACTATTGTTGTTGTGTTGCTGGTGCCACCCAACTATTGTTGTGGTGCTGCTGGTGACACCCAGCTGTTGCTGTGGTGTTGCTGGTCCCACCCAGCTATTGTATTTACGTTGTTGGTGCCATCCAACTCTTGTTGTGGTGTTGCTGGTGCCACCCGGCTATTGTTGTGGTGTTGCTGGTGACACCCGGCTATTGTTGTGGTGATGTTGGTGCCACCTAGCTGTTGCTTGTGCCACTCAGCTATTGTTGTAATGATGTGTTCTTAATGCCCCTCACAGGCGGCGCCACCCCACTCTAGTGTTACTGGTTCCAACCTGCCATTGTTGTGGTGTTGCTGTTGCCACCCAAAGGTGGTGCCGCCCACCCCAGTGTTGCTGGAGAAACTCGCCAGTGGTACGCTGACCGCCCACTCTCACTTATACACCCGCCCAATCTCATACATACACCCACTCTCATACATACGCCCACTCACTCATACACACACACGCCCACTCTCATACACACGCCCACCCTCGCCCATATACACGCCCACCCTAGCAAGGACCCTCCACTCGTCGCGGTATCGATTTAAATATTGAGATGAGAAGTGAAATATAATTAGAGGGTCGGGAATGGTAGACCCACTGGCGCTACCAGTAATATTAATGGGTTGTATTAAGAGCGCCATTATGAGGATAAAACTACCACCAGTGGCAACCTCCTGTGGTTACCACTACCACCTGGTTAACAATGTTACAAGTAGCAGCCGGCTGTAGTTAGTGTCACCACCTGGTTAACAATGTTACAAGTAGCAGCCGGCTGTAGTTAGTGTCACCACCTGGTTAACAATGTTACAAGTAGCAGCCGGCTGTAGTTAGTGTCACCACCTGGTTAACAATGTTGCAATGTAAATTATTTCTCATGTTTCTCATGTTTGTTAAGCATTCCAAAATCTCTTTCGTTGCTCACTGCATGTGGCAGTACTTGTTAAAATAACTTATTACAATCCTGTGCCCCGGGATATTGGATACAATGCTTAGCTTCGGCTAAGCGCCCATACTTATCTGAGGGTCTGGCTGTGTGGCTAAATTTCTGCGTACTCTGATGTAGTGTGTGCTGGTTCGAATCCTCCTGTCTTGCCAGAGGGGCTCCACAAGAACAATATTTCCCACCTCCAGGACTCAAGTCCAGCTAACCGGTTTCCCTGAATTTCTTTATAAATGTTGCCTCTTTCAAATTTTAACAACGCGTTAAGTCATAAAAATCCCTTGTCTCCACTCCTCTATAACACACCCACACAAACCTGCAGAATGTCTAAGTCTCTCGTAGACAAAACCTTCTTTACCCTCTTCCAACCATTCCTAGGATGACCACTCATATATGTGTATAATATATATATATATATATATATATATATATATATATATATATATATATATATATATATATATATATATATATATATATGTCGTGCCGAATATGTAAAACTGGTCAATTAGCAAGAACTCATTTAAAATTAAGTCCTTTCCGAAATTTTCTCTTGTACGTTTAAAGATATATTTTTTTCATTAATGTTGTTGCAAAAATTTATAATTTTGCACCAAAAGGAACTTAGAAAACTTACCTAACCTTATTATAACAAGAACAATTTATTTTAGCCTAACCCAACTAAATATATTTTAGATTTGTTTACAATAATATAATACTAAACAAATACAGTGAAATATATTTTTTTCGTTAGGTTCAGAATGATTTTGGCGAAATTATTGCATACACAAATTTTCACTTGTCCTATATGGCAAAATGAGCGTTGCTATTTAAGCCAAGATCGCAAGTTCTGCCTATTCGGCACGACATATATATTATATATATATATATATATATATATATATATATATATATATATATATATATATATATATATATATATATATATATATGGAGGTACCACCTCTGGAACTGTCATGGGGACCCTCATCCTCAGAGAAAAGAATAAACTTGCTTCAGAGAAAACTCAAGGTTCTCCATGAAGCTGTTTGAAAATTTTCTCCTACCACCCTCCATATTTAATATATATTTTATTTAAAGACAAAATACATTGACAAAAATACAATAGGGGTAAAACAACATAGATAAAAACTCAGAGAGAGAGAGATAAACAGAGAGAAGGGTAAAGACAGTGAAAAAAGAAAAGGGGGAATGAAGGATGGTGAGAGGGGAAAGGAGAAGGCGTAAAGGAACAACACAGAACACTACCAAAAATCCTGCCCGGATAAAATACGAGATTAAAAAACAAGAAGTGGCCAACTCTCTCTCTCTCTCTCTCTCTCTCTCTCTCTCTCTCTGATGAAGTAGTAGAGGCTCCATCCCCAATCAGGTGTTCCCCTGTGACATGTGGGATCAAGTTTAACTGGTTGAACCCCGTTATGACGAAGTGTTGTACTTCTCTTAACACCTACCAGAGGTACCTCACCAGGGTCCCTGTGAACCACTGGTCCACCCACCAGAGGTACCTCACCAGGGTCCCTGTGAACCACTGGTCCACCCACCAGAGGTACCTCACCAGGGTCCCTGTGAACCACTGGTCCACCCACCAGAGGTACCTCACCAGGTCCCTGTGAACCACTGGTCCACCCACCAGAGGTACCTCACCAGGGTCCCTGTGAACCACTGGTCCACCCACCAGAGGTACCTCACCAGGGTCCCTGTGAACCACTGGTCCACCCACCAGAGGTACCTCACCAGGGTCCCTGTGAACCACTGGTCCACCCACCAGAGGTACCTCACCAGGGTCCCTGTGAACCACTGGTCCACCCACCAGAGGTACCTCACCAGGGTCCCTGTGAACCACTGGTCCACCCACCAGAGGTACCTCACCAGGGTCCCTGTGAACCACTGGTCCACCCACCAGAGGTACCTCACCAGGGTCCCTGTGAACCACTGGTCCACCCACCAGAGGTACCTCACCAGGGTCCCTGTGAACCACTGGTCCACCCACCAGAGGTACCTCACCAGGGTCCCTGTGAACCACTGGTCCACCCACCAGAGGTACCTCACCAGGGTCCCTGTGGACCACTGGTCCACCCACCAGAGGTACCTCACCAGGGTCCCTGTGAACCACTGGTCCACCCACCAGAGGTACCTCACCAGGGTCCCTGTGGACCACTGGTCCACCAACCAGAGGTACCTCACCAGGGTCCCTGTGAACCACTGGTCCACCCACCAGAGGTACCTCACCAGGGTCCCTGTGGAACCACTGGTCCACCCACCAGAGGTACCTCACCAGGGTCCCTGTGAACCACTGGTCCACTCGCCAGAGGTACCTCACCAAGACCCCTGAGAACCACTGGTCCACCCACCAGAGGTACCTCACCAGGGTCCCTGCGAACCACTGGTCCACCCACCAGAGGTACCTCACCAGGGTCCCTGTGAACCACTGGTCCACCCACCAGAGGTACCTCACCAGGGTCCCTGTGAACCACTGGTCCACTCACCAGAGGTACCTCACCAAGACCCCTGAGAACCACTGGTCCACCCACCAGAGGTACCTCACCAGGGTCCCTGCGAACCACTGGTCCACCCACCAGAGGTACCTCACCAGGGTCCCTGTGGACCACTGGTCCACCCACCAGAGGTACCTCACCAGGGTCCCTGTGGACCACTGGTCCACCCACCAGAGGTACCTCACTAGGACCACTGTCACCCACTGGTCCACCAACCAGACGTATCTCACTAGGGCTACTGTAGCCCATTGTTCCACCTACCAACGGCACCTCACCAGGACCACTGCCGCCCGCTGGACCACTCAACAAAGGCACCTCACCAGGACCACTGCCGCCCACTGGACCACCCACCAAAACTCACAA